TCACTGCACTAGGAATGAAAGTAACTCTATTATAATGTGACAGCATTGGTTCTTCACGTTTACTATCGTCGTAATGCTTGCATGATATCATACGAATCGTTTGCTCAGTGAGAAAAGAAAGAGTCATTTTGCTACATTGATAAGGGCACGTTCGTTTGCAAATGCACATGGTACTGATAATATAACGCATCGACAATTTCAGCGGTACCAATCAATTATATATATATATATCTCAAATGACTTTGCCATCATCCATGAATAAGCGTTAATATGTTTGTTTATATTCCAGATACATATACAACTAATGCGTTGAATATTTCAGCAGTTCAAAAGAATTTGGGTATGGCTTGGGGTAATGAGGCACTTCAATTCATCAGATCACCATCTCAAGGAAGTGGCTCAAATAGTGATGAGGTTACCGTTAAGGTTCGTATAAAGGTGTTACTCATTCGCATCCACTCATTGCATAATATTATTCACTTTGACACATATATCTCATATTTGTGTGGCGAATGTGATTCAGTGCCTCCTTTAGTTAGTCGAATGAATTTAATAAAGAATCCAGTAATGAGTGATGGTTAGTTGGTAAAATCCGACCGAATGATCTTGAGCTTCTGTCGGAATACTGGCTTTTGGAGTCCTAGAAAATGGGTTCAGTCGAATCCAAACACACTCAAATTTCATTCGATCATCTCATAATTGTAAAAGGTATGCATGAACGTTTTCTTGATTATGTAAACATGGGCTGGACGTTGATCAACATAATACATTTCAGTTGCATACGTCTTGATCTTGATATCAGTTATTGACATTATCATCTTTTCAATGCACCTTTTGCTATATGTCAGACTTGCGCGTATTTTATGACTTCTAGGCTGAAAGCAGTCCATCGTAAGGTCAGTTTATTGTTGACAATAGACGAGAATATTAATCTCACGTAAAGGATGGAGATTGACTTTTGTAGAGTTGATAATTTTAATTGTATAGAAAATAGTGATAGTATCAAAAATAATGTTACTATTTTTGCAAAATTTTTGACTTTTATTGCCAATATTTTCTAATGGTATATGCCTCGTCTCCAAGAAATATATTTTGCACGAGTTCCCAATTTGTCATTAATATCACATTGTTATCACGGCATATGAGGCAATACCTTAATAAATAATTGAATAAGTTTGTTAATAACTAATTTACGATCATCCTCACATTTCTGTTTTTATTAGTTGTAAGACGCAAACGCTTTGAAGTGTTTCAATTTGAGACTTGTTTCTTCTCATATTAATGATTCTTTTTAACTTGGAACATTCTCTGACTGCTGCAATGTACTTCGTGCTACAAGCACATATACTTTGGTTATTCACATTTATCAGCACCGCACGCACACACAATCTATCGATTCTCATCCTTCAACTAACACTTTAAACAAAATCAATTTCCATAATGTTGCACAAATTTTCGTGCAGACTTAGCAGTAACAGTTCGATAGCGATGTAAGCGCACATAGCAAATTATCGGTATGAATCTAATAAAAACTGCATTTGTTAATGATTCATTAAAACTATCACACTATCTCTTTCATAAGTAGTATCAAAGTGGAAATAAATCATGTCATCATAAAAATTGTATTTGCTGATAATATAACGATGAATTTAAATGACGTGTTTGAACAACACATTCAATAATTCAACCGAATTACTTTCGCAATTTTACAATACAACATTATTTAAATTTCCACAAACACGCCCCATATCAGTACAGATTTTTCAGCGTCGTCCGAGAAGAGCCAAGAAGAAAAGCGACAAGAACGCCGTCGACACGAAAGTGCATCATGCGAATGAATTCGAAAAGGTATTATCGGCGATGTATTTAGCAGATACCATCATCAACTGCTCTTATACAATCTTACCTAATGTGTACCTCAAGTCCAAATACCATACGATTATTTGACTGTTCACAAAATGTGAAGAATGCCTATATCTTAAACCAATTTGATGTTTACATATTAATTCGCTGAAAAATGTGCACTCATTTCATGCTTGATGCAGTAAAAATTCCAAATGTGTGCACACAAATAGGTTTTTTCTCCACTTTCCTTTGATTTCCCACGGACTTTTTGCATCTGATGGTCCTCATAACAACAAGAATGCATCGCGCATTAATAATACATCAGAATATGAGTCCAAATAAGGTGTAGCAGTTTCCGATGCCTTCGTTCGTAAATCTTTATGCAACAACGTCACGATAAATCATATGCGACTATCATCACTTTAAATATCTCATGATTACTTTTATCAAGAAATGACAGTTACTAAGCATTCAGTTGTAGACATGAAAATAGCGATTTCAGCAAATGAAAATAGCAGGTTCGAGGACAATTTGTAAGTATACCGTGCTGATCAGATCACTTTTGCCATTCAGAAACAGATAGATTTGAAATACATCCTTTGGTTGGGGTACTTTGACCGTTGTGATTGAGACGGTGGTAATTTTCAACGTGAGTCGTTTCAGACAAATCGTTTCATCGCATGGTGTGTGTATTTCAATTGGATGATTCTTTTCATCTTTGCTTATATTCGAGAATTCCTCAGAAAACACGGCCTCGAGAAGAATTTAGCTGCGGTCGAGTTACCCAAACAGCGGGTATGAGCTCACTCACATTAAAGCTATGCACATGAATGTTTCTCGCGGGCAGTTTCGAATAATATAACAACAAATTCAAATTTGCGTTATAAGCATGCGATTTTATTTTGCTCAAAAAGCGTTGGCGATTTTCGAAATTTTTACAGCAATCAGTAAACTCAAAATAATAGTAATCATCACTATTTCGTTAATGCTAACTAACGTGAGTCATTTTACAAGTCTCATCAAATTTCAAAGATCCACTGATATGGGGTGAATTAAGAATTCGAAATATTGAAGAGTTTCGTGCCATTATTCGCGGAATTTGAAGCGATCTACTCTCGAAATTGCTATATGCGAGTTCGAGATGTCTTCGAACGTCCGATCGGGAGTGTTCCCGGGGCTACGGTCAAACTTATTGATCGTTATACTGAGGATTATTGTTGGTCTTTCAAGTGAGTCGCCTAGCACTGTCATCATTTTCAACAATTTATTCAGCTCTCTGCCTTAAACAGGGAATGTTTATTCTGAACTCTTAAGAGCGATTCTCTACATTTAATCAATTTGCTCTCTTTTTTTTTGGTGTATGTTTTTATTGAACGCCGCGATGGAATATACAATCAAATTGAAGACCAATTTAAGAATTTTTATGTTTGAAGTCGATGACATGAAAAGAATGTTGTCATTTCTTTCAGTGGCATGAAAGCTTTCAACACCATAAATGAACAATCCGAAATAAAACGAATACGTTCATTTGCTCTATGCACTTTATTCTGTAAAAAAAATAATCCTCACAATCACTGATCTTTTCTCGCTAAATTTACGATCCACCACGGTTCAATTCTGAAAAAAGAAAATCATTTTAAATATCAAAGTTCTATGGCAATTTTGCAAGGTTTGTAACTGAAATTAGACGTTGTATACAATACAATATCGCACCAAAAAAAAAACGAAAATTTAGATTCACTGGTTCACAAACAGAAGTGATCAATATGGGCTCGTACAACTACTTGGGATTCGCCCAAAAAGACGGTCCTTGTGCTGAGGCAGCATCCAGAATTATCGACGATCAAGGATTGTCGTTGTGCACATCTGTTCATGAACGAGGTGCATCACATTCATATTAACAAGCATCTTTTATTTATCAGTTATGCCGCCCTCCTTCATTTTATTAGTTTCAAAAAAAGCAATCTCTGAGCAGAATTGGTGTGTTAACAACAGCTGGCCAATGGTCCACATCCCATCCCGTATCTCGCCCCAGGCCAAAAACATTTCGTCCACATTTTGACTGCTAATATTTGACTGTATCATGAATTCATGAGGTTGCAAGGGGCTTGCATGAGAGGCCATCATGATACCCGCACACTGATTATATTGTTCAAATATAAGTAATGTTTGAATTCCCAGATCTCAATAAAGCCATTGAAATTATATCCGTACTTAGGATTTAAACATGAAAATGCTGTTTAAAAAAGCACATATCACGTTCTTCTTCTGTTTTGTTGTAAAAAGGAATCACATTTGGATGAGATAAAACCGAAAAAATTGATGTTTCTGAAGGATTTTCAAAGTCTCAACGGGAGTTGGAGAAATTACTGGCACGTTTCATTGGAGTCGAGGATGCGATTTGTTTCAGCATGGGATTTGCAACAAACTCCATGAATCTACCTTGTCTTGCGGATAAGGTGAAGAGCCATTTATTTACATGCCTACCCATAGGTATATGAATGAAATTGGCTTGGTAATTGCCAACAGAAACCGGAAGCAGCTGATCGGTCGGTAGCCTGGAAGAACCGAATTTCATTAACCACTGATCGATGCCCAAAATTTGCCTTGTTGTGACCACCACAAAAAAANNNNAAAATCGTTTTGTTTCCCAATCTATCAATGAAAGTGCTCATCAGTACGGAAGCAGTGCTAATATTCCCAAATTATCGTTTATTTTTGTGCAAATTTTGAAACTCAATTATTTACTTCGTAGAAATTAGATTTTTACTGAAATTAAATAATTTTTCTTGGATAACTTCAGTAACAATTTAACAAATCTTATAATGAATTAACGATTGTGCTCCTTTCAAAGAATACACTCATCATAAGTGACCAATACAATCACGCATCACTCGTTCTTGGTTGCCGAATGAGCGGAGCAACGATCAGAATCTTTCGACACGACGGTACTGAGATTTCAGTTATTCTGTTGTTTGCTTGTTACTGCATTGGTCTTCGAATAGCTTGTATTGAACGAATCGATGTTGCTTTCAGATGTGTGCAATTTGGAGAACTTAATTTGCGCGGCGATTCGGGATGGAAATCCGAAGACAGGCTATCCGTTCCGCAAGATTCTGATAATAATCGAGGGTATCTACTCGATGGAAGGCTCGATTTGTAATCTGCCCGAAATTATCGCTCTTAAGAAGAAATACGGCGCTTATTTATATCTTGATGAAGCACATTCAATCGGTACTTCATTACGAGTTCACCTCATTTCTGCCACATCTAGAACGCATCCATTTGCATCTAATCGACTATTTCAGGAGCGTTAGGAGCAACTGGTCGAGGTGTTGTCGAATACTGGGGTTGTGATCCATATGACGTCGACATCTTAATGGGTACTTTCACAAAAAGTTTCGGCGCTGCTGGTGGTTATATTGCTGGACGTAAGGTAGCGAAAATACAGCGCCTTTTCTAATTGATGTGAAAACGAAGATGTTCTGAACTGATTATCTCATAATGATTGCAGAAAATAATTGACCATATCCGTACGAATACCGCCACTGGCGTTTATGCCCCGCCGATGTCACCACCGGTGGCACAACAAATCTACAGTTGTATGTCGATTATTATGGGTCTTGACGGCACTCAGGATGGTAATCTTATGTGGTGTTATTCGAATAACTCATTCTACTGCATAGAGTAGCCGCTTCCATTACAGTGATTGATGCTTTGCAGGTGCGCGCCGTATCGAGCAACTGAAGCGTAATACGCACTATTTCCGAAAGCATCTGAAACGAATGGGACTGATCGTTTACGGTTCTGATGACAGCCCTGTTGTACCCATTCTTATCTATTACCCCACCAAATGCGGGTTCGTTGCCAGTTACTTTCAAAATAAACCGATCTTATTCCTTAATAAAGTACTGTTTGAAACAAGTAAACAAAGTAGTTCCAAAATTCATGAAGATTCCTTAAGACTTAATGATAAAAAGAAGAAAGATATGTTCAGAAGAGATATTTGTATTATTCAGTTTATGGGGTCGTGAGATGTTGAAACGGCAAATCGGAGTGGTGGTGGTATCATTCCCGGCCACGGATATGGTCGAAAGTCGCGTTCGGGTATGCCTGAGTGCAGCGCATACGAAGCCAATGCTAGACAAGACTCTGCAAGCAATCTATGAAGTGAGTCAAATAAGTAACATCAAATATTCGAAAGGAATGCAACAGTACGACAAATCACCCATTGAGTGGTAATTAAACATCATCTGTACATTATTCTATGTGGACACTTCTGTTACGTTATCGCTGTAGAAGTTCTGTTTTATAGTTGAAACCGTTCTGTTTTCTTTTACTTCCTCACACCAGATCGTGAATTGTCCTGCTAAAAGTTTTCTTGGAACCAGGACAGCATTATTCTTGACATGGCGTAAGTGGAGTAATATTGATAGTATCATCCCTTATGAAATTGTAACAACGATATCATCTCTTGTACTATTATTATCAGAACTTTGTTATTACCAGTATCGCTATCGTTTTTATTTATCATTTTATTTTTGTCTTAACCTCATTGTTGATTTCTGCTGTCTTCATTACAACTGTATTAATGGAAGATTAAATTGAATCATTATGATACTGTTGAGATAGCCATGTCAATGAATGAAAGCGTTTTTATTGATGGCGG